GCCTCCTTGTGTCTCTCCTTTTCCTTTCTTCAATAAAAAGACTACCCCAGCTTGGCATAAAACTGCTCCTGGGTGATGTGTGCATGGTTAGATACACTGAATTCAGTGCCAGCTGAAGAGGATGTCCCATGAACTGTCATGGTTCAGCTGTGTCATGTATAATCCCACCACTTCTGCCAAAAGAGGAGGAGCACCCGCAGCAATTCAAGAGGGGTTTGCTTCCTTGAGATACTCAGCAGCTTGCCACACTGAGCTTTTGTCAAGCATCACCAACTCAGGGCAGGTAGCAAGAGGCTATGCTGCTAGCCATAGCTGGGTAGCTGCTCCACTCCAGGCATTTTTTGCAACTCTCAGCCAAAGGCTTAAGTAGCACCTTACCACCTGGAAAGGCAGGCACCAGGCTGCTGCCAGCCTTCATCTCTGAGAAGAAAACTCTATACATTCTCCTCAGCCAAGTATGTTATAATTTAATCCAACACCCACACAAGGGGTGTAGCACAAAAGCCTGCAGCTCGGCTGACAGCACATGGGGCAACACTTGGAGAGCTAACTCAGCCTGGAAGGGTGCAAAAGCACTGGGTTAGCAAAGGATAGGAGAGGCCCCCATGCATGTGCCGGAGCAGAAGTGGCAAGGGAGCGTTCCAGGGAGGCAGGAAGCGGAGCTGCTGCTTTCCCTGCACTCTCACCTGAGGAAACCGGAGCTAATTTGTAAACCTACTGTCAGCACCGGAGGTGTAACCAGCCACCTCCTGCTTCCCTGCTCCTCCATCCCTGCACCGGTGGATGTTTAATGGTAGATAAAGCTGCACCGTGAGTTTCTAAACAAGTGCTTACACCATCCTAATCAACAACAAAAAAGCGTCCCAACCAAAACAGGCATCCTCTGATTGCTACAGGCTGAAATAGCTTCTGCAGCACATCCTCCACCTAAAACTGAGCGACTCGTCTCCTTGTCGCCTCTAGGACCCAAGAACACGTTTTTCTGTTCCGAGGGGGCAGCCGCGTCGCAGTTGGGACAGCAGGGGGACCCCGGCCCTGGCTCTTGCCCCTAGCTGTCCCCGGCAGCGGGTTCCCGGAGGATTGCTGCACCCCCGGTGACAGTCACAGGGCGGGCGCCAGGACCGTGCCCCCCCGCCGGCCCCTCTCCGATTTCCTGGATTTGTACAAGTCTGGTTTTTACCGTAAAATACATGCCCTCTCTGGTCATGTTACTGCAGCGCCTGGTTATAAAGCTGCAGCAACTCTTTGTTTCCTACTTGTGCGGTATTAAAGGTTTTTTTAAAGCTAGAATGTTCTCATAGGCAGGTGGGGAAAAAGAAAAGTAATCAAAAGTTTAAAAATTTGCTACCTCCATGCCATTCAAGAGTTCTACACATAACAAAAATTTAGGACTGAAGAGAGTTAACTTACTACAGTTTTCATTTGTTCATTAAAATAGAGCTGTGCAGAACATGTGCCCAGAACCACATTAGTTACCATTATGTTGCAGCTGGGGAGGAAGTGAAGGGAAAAGAAATATGCCCGATCTGACAGCTCAAACCTTGCTCTTTGCTATCAGAAACACCATCAGCTGGACTCTAATCTCAGAAAACAGTTTCTGTTATCACCCATGGCCCTGGTTCCCCTTGCAAAAATGTTAGTTGTGTCCACAATTGTATTTTCCTCAGAGGAATACTTATTCTTTGATGTCCAAAGATGTTGCTAAGTGCTCAAATAAAAACAGTTCTGAAATATCTTTCAGTTCCAGTAACCCAAGGTACAGCACTCACCAACAGCCAAGATTTTCAGGTTTAGGGGTGGTAGTGTTTAGTTTGTTGCTGGCTAGTGGTTTGTTTGGCTTTTCTGACACCCATCTTCACTGTTTGGAAAAACTTCCCAGAATTGCCACAGGAATTAATCAAGCTCCAAAATTCTAGTTTCCTTATGTTTCCTAGAGCCGCCACCATGTCCTCTGCTATAATGCAATCTTTAATAGCAGTTTTTAAAACTTGGTTACATACAGCAATGTAAGCAAGATGCATTTATAACGTAAGCAAGTGACTTGCCTTAAGATAGTTCTGATCTGTTTTTTTGCTTGGCTTTTTGTTTGACACTTTAAGTAGCTAAGACCATCTCACAACCCAGTAAAATATTCAGGTATTAGGCATTCTGTTTGTGAGTAGGAGTCAAATCTCTGCATTTTAGTAATTCTGGATTCATCTTTTATTTAAGAGCAAAACCAAAAATTGAAGCACACAAGCCCTTGAAACAAGCCCAGGACAGGAACGGGTTCCACCCTGGCAAACAATACTGACACACAGACAGACCCACAAGGAGCAGTGGTTCCACATGCTGAATATTTAGTGATGAAATTTTACTTCCCATCTCCAACAGCATTTGAAAGAAATAATGTGTTTCCAGTTTAAACACTGCCCTGAAGCAGTGAGCCAGCTGTGTGCGATGCTGGCAAGCTGTTAGTCCATCTGTGCTCAGATGTGAGACATTCCCTGCAAATTTTTAGCCATGTGAAGATGCTGGTGTTGGGCTTATAGGGTAAATGAACTGGTCATCTTTTCCAGCATTTATCACCACATTATATACAAGGTAGTTACAGTAAATTCTCCAGAAAACCCCATAAATTATTACCAACAGAAGTTTAATCCTGAGCTGCACATTTAATTCCCAAAAATCCAACAACAACAAAAAAATCCCCTGAAAAACCCCCAAAGTCCAGCAGTTTACAACTTGGAAGACAACCAAGGAAACCAACTCCCAGTTCAAGCAAAAAGTTACAAACCTGTCATCTTCAGAGATAGGAACATACTATTTTGCAACACACTTCCATAAAGAGAAAGGATGGATGGGATGCATCAACAACTGTCTTTCCTGAGGCACACACCCTGTATATGCTTTCTCCTCACACTTCATGTTCCTCCCCAAAGCTACCACCTATAGCATAGTTTTACTTGGCATGTCCAATATTCCCCATACCCGCTACACACACATTTTAATCTTGGTCTCCTGCGTCAGTCTCTCCCCATCCTGCTTCACCATTTCTATTCAACTCATTCCTTCCTTCCTGTCCTGACAAGGACTTGAGTCTACCCCCAATGGGTTGGTGAATTGCACCTCATCTGCCCCTTCCATTTTTAAAGTCAACTCTTAGTACCTGACTCATCCATTTGGGAGCTATGAGACTTCTTTTTTTTTTTTCTTCCTTATTCCAGGAAAGGGATAAGTAGGCTGTATATTCACTCAACTTCAAAGCTATGGGGAAAAGCTTGATGGAACTGAGTAAGCAGTAGCAAGTGTCAACAAAGTGAATTCTCTGGAACTGGTTTTGTCTGGTAGGACAGAGGACCTTCAAGCTGTTCCTGTCAGCTGCTATCCACTCCCACCAGACAGGGTCAAGCAACTCAGATTCAGCAGATGTTCCAAAGTGAACACAGCTCCTACAGCAGTGTAGTGGCACAAACAGACTTCAGTGCATTTGCAGTAATTACTTACATTCAAGCTTTCATCTGCAAGAAAAAAAAAAAAGCTAAGTGAGTATTTTATATGAAAACTGATAATGGGAGACCCAAGTTTTTGCAGATCCATACCCATCCTTCCCCCGCCCCCTAAAAGTATATGAGATTCAAATCCAGTTAAGTCCCATGAATTTCTTCAAAGGCTTTGCTGCTCAGTACTCATAAATTCCCACTACGTGTTTGTGAGTACATGCAGCTATCTGCATATCTGCATGCCTGCCTGCAAGCAAAGTACACACGCTACACTTTGGAGATTGAGTTTGCTATTGTCACTTGGGTCTCTCCCCTCCTCTTCAAAGCATTCAGCAAGCACAAAACAAGTACTTTCCAGTCTGATTATACTTACCAGTAAGTATGACTTAAGAGATGTGATCTTTTCACTCCTGACCTTAGAGCCAGATGTTTCACATAAGGTACAGGCTGTCTAGCCTCCTCTAAGATTTGCAAGCATCTTCTGAGAAACACCCAAGAAAGACTTCATCTTTCCCTGATGCAGTGTTTGGCTTTACTGTGCAAAACAACCCCCCTGCATACTGTGCTCAACAATGTGATAATGAAAAGAAAAAAAAAAAAAAAAAAAAAAAAAAGAAAGGCTTCTTCCTTGTTCAGTGTAAAACAAAAATGGGAAAGAGGCCATTTCAAGAGAACATGTAAGAAGTTCTACAGCACTGAAGCATGGAAAAAGCCTCAAAGCACTTTGGGATCAGCTCAGTGCTGCTGCACTTAGGCTTCAGTCTAACACAGGCGCAAGAACCATTAGCAAGTATCCAAGTATGATGAAAGGTGCACTAAGGCTGGCAGACTCATTGGGAGATCCAGGTAACTCTTCCTGAACCAGTACAAGACAGACAAGCACATGCAAGGGGGCTTCACAAGAGTTAGAGCAACAAGCATAAGCACAGCCAGCCAGATGTTTCCTTGATTACTATACAGTCATTACAAAGTTCATCAAAAATCTTAGGGAAGTTGTGTGGCATCCTATGGGCAGGCATCTGTAAACTCCATCATTATTCTGCCAGCTTCAAATTCACTGGGAGCCATGTAAAACTGAAAAGCTCCCATGAAACCTTACAAATCCTGTTTGAAGACGACTTTCATTTTGCATCTCATGTACCTGTCAAAGTGGTAAAAAGAGCTGCCTCTATGTCCATCATCACTCTTCAGCCAGCCTAAACTTGGTGCTGTTTTTAAGGGATAAAATCTTCAGGAAAATTATCACCACACCCAGGTAACTGCAGGCAGTATAAAAAAAAAACCAAAAACAAACAAACCAAACCAGATCCTTCTCCAGAGCAGAAACAGCTCTGATTTTTTTTTTTAAAAAAGAACAAAACCAAAAAACCACACAACCCCAAAACCCCAACTCTCAAAAATCACAAGAAACCAAAATACTCTCCACAAAACCACCAAAAATCCATATGCCCCCTTTATTATGGGGCAGTTGCTACAGAGTAGTTTTAAAAGTTACAAAGATTACAAATAACCACATAGTTTTCAAGAACCTTTATACATCATCTTTTTTAATTAGATCAGCTTTACAAGCAACTTGAGAGCTCTTTCATAATGAACACTGCTTTTCAAATTACACAACTTCATAGGCAACCTGTAAATGAATCCTGAATTTCTTTGCCTGCTATAGATAAAGGTCTCGTATTTCACAGCCAGCTAACATCATGAATAAAAATAGCATTATGAAGCTTTATCTTTAACCAGGACTAGACACATACAGATCATAAGACAGTTTAAAAAATAGTTTTAAAACAAGGACCTGCTTGGTGATGCTCAAGACTGAATATTCAACCGACATGAAATGAACAGTTTCTAAAGAACATGGAAGAAATGGCTGACCCGATTTGTTGACCCTATTGTAATGACTTACATGAAGTGAAAAATTAAGCACTTTTAAAACCTGTATGGCGAGCACAAACCTACAGTGTGATTAGAATTTGATACGCTGTGTAACTGCGGAAGTTTGAATTACAGAGGGATTGAAATGAGTTTAAAGGCTTATGCTTATATTTCTAAAACAAACCCAACCAAACCTCCATCAAAGTAGTACTAAAGAAGATGAAGTAGAAAGAGGTGGCTTTTTTGCTTGCTTCATTGTAGCCTAAATGCACTGCAGACCAGACAGTAATGAAGATTTGCACTCCTTGGCCAGGTTGGCAGAGGCACTTACTGTAAAGGTATCCTGTCTGTTTTTCTGGGAAGAATCGAGGAAAGAGGAAGAGAACTGTAAAGGGCAAGAACTTACTAAAAAAAACCCCAGGAAAACAAAATCAAAACAAAACTGGGATTTCTGTTGGTTCTCCTAAATGATATACCAATACTGAATTTTTCCCCCTTCTGTCAGTTTGTTACTAAACAATTAGCTTTTTCATGTTTTACATGAACAATAGTAATCTTTTTAATAAAAAATTACTGAGCTTTCCATAGAAAAGGTCTCTAATTGAATACAAACTATACAGATGCTAAAATTGTCACAAGTTGTAATATATACAGAAATATTTCTGTACACTCACATTGTTTTGGCTAACTAAGGAAATAAGGGACAGATAGAAAACTGCAGTGGGTAAGTTGATCAACCCCCAAACTCCTGTTAATATGAATGCTGTCTTTTATAGGTTTGCTTTTGTTTTCTCAGGCTTTTAAAGCTCAGGGAAAAAAAAAAAGAAAGAAGGAAAAAAAAAAAAATTCAATGTCCAAAACATATATTTCTTAAAAATAAGAACAAAGTTTCTGCACATCTCACTTTTATTCTGCGATGTCCCCTCTCCTTGATGAAAAAGAAAACAATGTAAAAGAAAGTAAATGTTTTCTTACTAAATATATACCTCAGTATTGATCAAAGGGCAGTGCCTTTTTGGGAAAATCCTTCAGCACAGTGAAAACCTAAAGATGTATTGCACAAGGAGCCTACAGTGATGCACTTCAGTTTCAGTGTGCTGACCATCTCCTTGATACTATGTAATAGATCAAGGTGTCAACTTACAGACTGCATGGGACACCAATGTTTGAAAAGTTAATTAAAAATGTGGATTTTAGATATTCTATTAACTTATATACAAAGGAAAGGGGGGTGGCAAGTATTCTTTAGAAAACAGGAGAAAGCTCAAAATTTTCTGTCAAGTACATAAGGAGGTTCTGGGTACCTCTAATAGCCTAGGAAAGCCCTTGTATACTCTCATAACTTGGTGGTATTTACCAGGTCCCCAAAGCCAATGACAGCAACCAATAGTGTCAAGTTCACTTAGTGCCAGTCACTTGAAAAAAAACCCCAAACAAAAAAACCCCAAAACAACCAAGAGACAGAAACTTCCCCTCTGTGGATTCAACATACAAAACCACAAACTGAATGTTACTAATAGCGAGATACTGATTTGCTTCTGTTAATAAGGTTCTAGTCAAAATAAGGACATAGTCAAAAAAACAATACAGCAGCAATCTTTAAAAGTTAAGATTAGTGTGAGATATGATATAAAACAATCAGGTTTTTAGCTGGTAATTAAAGTGCTCCTTTTCCGACTTAAGGTGTAAAGAAAATTAAAGTGATTATTAGTTACTGGCAACCCTTACATTAAATTAGGTCTTTCATGGCAGAGGAGAACAGTATGAACAGTTTTACAAAAATAGATCCATGTTATTTTGGAGAAGATGGTAATTTTTTTTTTCTTTTTTTTTTTTTTTTTTTTTTTTTTTTTTTTTTCTCAATTTTGATAAACTGTACCTGGTCATACAAAAATTACCCAAAATTCAAACTTTTACCATATAAAAAAAGGGAGAGATGAATTTGATTCAGCTGGATGACAGGTCTGGCAAAATATAAGGATGGACAAATTCTATGTAGGGCACTTATTTATGTCCAGATGCATATGCTGTTTCTTACTGATTGCTTATTTCTTCACATAAGCAGTCACAGGCCTGGAGTCACAATCACATAGTACAATGCTTCAGCAGTCAAAGAACCTTCTATCTGATGCAACATGGAAACACTGTTTGCTTCTTTATTAAAATGTTGGTTTGTTGTTGATTTTCCTTTATCTTGTTATTCACATTCAAAAGTTAATAGATAGCATCAAGATTTATCAGGGAGAATAGCAAGGGGAGTTGCTAAATCAAAGGCTTATAGAACGTCTTTTCCAACTGAGTCAGAAGGTTTGTTAAGTTCAACCCTCACACCTTTTTCACCTGCAGAAACATGAAAAGGGAATTGGTATTATTTTTCAGCATTTATCAAAGTACAGTCTATAGAATTGCTACATCACTTTCCAGATTAGTTTTAAAAGAGTACTTCAAAGATTGTCTAGCACATATGATCCAACAAGATATTTTTGTATATGTGCTCTGTATCCTGTAAAGTTGATGAGCCATGGTTACTCATGATCTCTGAAAGTAGGCATCTATTTGGCTGCCCAAGTAGAAAACTGGATACTTCACATCATACATGCAGGTCTAAATCTCTCAGCCTTTAAATGTAATAAAAACGGTCAATCTAAGGATACTGCCCATTATTCTGTATCAATATCCAGAGTTTCTGAGTATTTACTTTTGTAAATCTGAGAAATTTTAAAAATGTAACATTCTATTTGACTTGCTGCTAAAAAATAAACAAAACAAAGCCACCAACCAATCCACACCTCTTCTGTCCTTTTTTCTAAAAACTGACCTAGGTAACCCCCAAATAAAAGTTTGACTATCAAAACATTAACAGACACAGTATCACATATTCAGGAAAAATTCACACATGGCTTTAGATAGACTGACACTAAGCCAAAAATGAAGTTTTCTATTTTATGACAGTTTATTCTGCAGTTTTGTATTTTATTGTCAGCAGAAAACCAAAAACATCTTGCACAATTCTTGCTGCAGATACAGAGCAAATAAAGCAATTTTAATTGCAAACAATAACGGAAATCACAAGAATATGATAATATAAATTACAGGGCAACTTAAACCAAAATTTAAACCACCCCTCCAACCTAGCCTTCCTTGCTTAAGTACCTGCAGTTTAGGGGCACCCTGGAGAGGAAGAGGGCTGAGGCGGTGGGTGAGGTGAGCACCTTCCCTGCAGACACAAGCCCAACTGAACCACTTCCCTGCACTCTCTCTGAAAGGGCAGGAGCTGAAGCTGTGCAGAGATAACTGAAACAGCTCAGATCTGGCAAGGCTGGCTCCAGGAGCTGCGCAGTTACACGCATGTGACACGAAGCTGAGCCTGCAGACAGGCTTCCTGCAGAGACCAGGCAGGCGTTATCCGGCACTCCTGACTGCCTGGGAAGCCACCGTGCCTCGCCGAGCAGTGGGACAGGCTGCCCAGCCATCCTGCGTTTCTTTGCTAGCCAGGCAGGAGCTGCATCACTCTTACCGCTCCTGAAATGCACAAAGTCACCGGCTGCACCAAGGGGGACTGACCTAAACCCCAGCTTTCACAGCCACTAGATAGCTCTGGGGCTACTTAGGAGCTTCAGATGCCTAACAGCAATGAATGGAAGTGTCGTTTGGAAATGACAGCACTAACATCATCAGTTTCAAAGCTCTTGACAAAACCCTGAAGAAAGTAGCCCTGTACATGTATGCGCTTGTGGTACACCTGATTTTTATTTTTATGCTACTGTAACAAATACAGAATTGTGATGGCAATTACAAGCATGACAGAAGTCCTACGCCATTTCTCCTTATAATGCTAATTTGAACAGGAAAATTAGATCAACTTCCTCTTGAGGAAGAAGCCAAAAAAGGAAAACAGATGCTAGATCTGTGGAATTGGAAATGGAGGAAGTAACTCCATTCTTTGATTCCAGATTTTAATTTTAGGTTTTTTTTTTTTTCCCAATACAGAGATTCTAGCCAGGTTATGTTGTATCCACTTAATGAATCACTACATTCAAAGCTATTTGCAGGGCTCTCAGTTCTGTACTGCCTCACAGTCTCTAGTGTATTTATCCTCCACACCTATTAGGGAGACAAGACTAGGGAGAAGCTGTATCCCCCATATAAAACTACTGAGCAGCCTCAGGTTTCAGAGGAAGTGTACGCAAGACACAGCATTGACCTGGATTTCCCAAGTCAACGCCTAGCAGCTCAACCACTGGGTCACCTTCCCTGTAAAACCTGACTCTTGAGTTATGCTGGTTTTCTCCCCCTTTTTGTGCACAGGGTGGGCCAAGGAGATGAGCCTGGACTACTTAGCTATTCCTCCAAGAAAAAAAAAGGACACAGAAGATATTAAGAAGAGATTACCTGTTAGATATTTTACTTTAGCTCGTGCTCGTTCATCTGCATCAAAATACCACACTGTTATTGCGTACCTAGGGAAACAAATGGAAAAAAAACCTCCTGAACTATTAAGAAAAACAGTGAAGCACTTGACATAAAACACAACCTAAATGACATGACACTTCTGCAGTCTGACAGAAGAAGGATTTCATAAAGCACAAAGCAAGCAGGTTTTTTCTTCAGTTAGTAGGTATTTTCTGAACAGTCATTGACAGGGTAACACTGACGCTGTAAGTTTATGGTTCTTTTTCCTGATGAGGTGCTATTATGGTTTTTGCCCAGAACCTGCAATATAGTCTTTGACCGTATCACCTTGACCTGTGACCTCATCTTTTTACTTTACTTGGTCATGTCTATCACTGAGTCACACTGCAAGAACTGCTTTTTTTGGACATTTGCCATCAGACAAAATTACCTACACCTTCTTACACAGCTTCTGTAGTGTTCCGCTGCCCGTAGAGGATTTAAATACAAAATGCCAGCTATTAAGAAAAGACTTTAAGGAGGTTTAGTAAATGGCATTTCACCCTCTGAATCTCCTTGGAGCACAAGGTGGGAAGTGAGAGCGGCACAGCCTCCGAAAAGGCTGCAAGGGGACAGAGGACCTGCCGATGGCAGTTTCAAGTAACTTCTTGCAAAGGTACTTGCGTTCTCAGAGCTCCAGTCATTGTTCAGTGCTCTGGCCATCTAAACGTGTTGCAACATGGGCAACAGGAAGTCTGGATCAACAACTCCCATGATCTACCTACTAACGCTATCTGAAAATGCCACTCAAGATGTGGGGGCAGCAGTGAATGCAGGTACCTTTATCATCCACTGGCCTGCACCAAGGGACAAAGGAGATATCAAGTTCCCCTTATGATTCAGAGTCGGAACAACTCCTCTAATACACTAGAGAAAGAATAGTTTTGTCTATTAACAATCCTTTCTGCCCCACAGCCTGCTTCCAATTCCCAGACTCGAATACAGTGGCTTAGTTTGAAAATTACTATTTTCTAACAACTTGCTCCCAACAAAAGGGGACATAAAACTGAAGTACCTAGTCAATCTTACAGAGAAATAATGAAGACGGCACCCCTTGGCTAAGGTGGGGTCTGCTTACGGCTCTGGGTGCTCCTACCCAGTTCTGCCAAATACTCCCTCAGAAACTTCTGATGTTTCCAGTCTGCCCTCCTACCTACCTGAGAGGATGTTTTCTCTAAAATAAGAAATCAGATGTCAGTACAAACTCAGCAGCACAACAGAAGCCTAATCAATCAGTAAGAAAAAGAATCCCTTCTTGTCGTAGTGCAACTAGAACTGTATAGGGAAAGACCTGGGATTAGATCATAATTCATAGTGTCACTCATCTCTCATTAGGATTCACTAATTTCTTGACAAAATAGGCATCATGCAATACACAGAGTCTTACCTTGTAGCAAAGGCTGGCTGTACTTCATGAGGGTTGCGGCGATCAGACCAGAAGAATAGCAGTCTATCGAATTTGGGTTCAATATCAGCAAATTGGGCTTTACCTTCTGGAAATATCCGAAGGATGCCTCCACTTACCTACAAATTAAATATTTTATACCAGTACTTGAAAACAATGTCTCATTGTATTTAGAAGTATGGAATATCACATCTGAAAATATGTCAGACACTTGGAACTGAAATAAAAGCCTTTATCAGATGCTACAGAAATTATGTATCTATGGCTTTTCTGTTGACACATTCATTTAACAAAACATTTCACATGTTTCTCACTGAGTAATTTCAAAACGCTTGCAAATATTAACCTTCATTCAAGCAAAAAGCTGTGGCTTTAGATTGGTTACTAAAAATATGCCAATACAGGTGACAGAAACATTGTATTTCACATCCAAGTTTCACCTTTTCCCCTTAGATTGTTTAATTTACCAGCAGCACAAGTTTATGGCATGTTGTTTGTGTAATTAAGATGAGGAAAGACTAGGAAACTTCTAACTAAAACTTGAATCTGTACTCCTGGTCAATTCAGAACTCTGCCAGGCTTTGAAAAACAGCACAGTTAATTATTTTTAAGTCACATTAACTTCTTCCTACTGATAGTACTGATGTTGTTAAATCTTACTACAGATTGCCACCGTAGGCCTTCATGGGGAAGTCATACAGTGCAGGAACTAACAAGGTAAATTGGTATGACTTTTTTTTAATTGTGATCTAAATCAGCCAAAAAGAAGTGACAGTTTAGATCAGTTTGTTCTCCTAAAGAAAGTCTGAGCTTCTTCCTTTGCTAACCATTCACTATACTTGGTAATACATTAATTTGTAATTTGAAATGGATTTTGCAGGAAAAAAAACACCTTTGTTCACTAACTGTATATTTAATTTATGAATTTTTCAGTTATTGTGCAAATGCTATTTGCTTGACTGCTACGCTCTGGTATGTATTCATTTTTTCCAGAAGAGAAACTGTAAATCAACTAAAAATGCCCCAAAGCTGCATTTTAAGACATTCAGTCCAACCATTGCACTTACATGCTAAGATGCTATCATGGCAAAAAAGGCTAGTAATTTATTTTCTAGTTGAAGGATCAAATTTGACATTTCAAAGAGCAAGTAAGAAACAGAAAGCGGGGAGCAGGGCCCTTAGCTGCTACCTGTGTTATCCGTATCTGGTGCACCCAATTCACAGAAACTACTTATGTGCTCTTCCACATGCTACTTCCTAAGTATGACAGAAGTATCAGTAGTTTTATCTTTTTTTTTTTCATGTACAATGAGAATAAACTTCTCCATAGCTAACTGCACAGCAACCAAGGAATAAACATTGTATTATTCTCTCATGCTTTCAATACAGACAGTTAGCTACATCCATTCTTCAAATTTACCTAATCTCACTGAATAACTAGGAAAATCCTTATTAAAAAATTACTTTATCATGGTCACTATATCTATGGAGAGTTTCAAGTCACTTGTAGTAAATTTTTAAAGACAACTTGAACTGTGTCATAAATCCTTATCTATTCTACTTCCTGTATCTACAATGATAGAAAGACTTGTGCTGCTCTGAGCTATACTGATACAGCAATAACCAGAACACTTGGTTTATTTGAAACTGCTCCCAAGATACAGCACCTTTCTTTTTAGAAGTGTACTCAAGTAATTTAGTTGCACAGTCAACTCAAGAGTCAATAGGAATATAAGGAGAAATAAACTAAAAGCAATTATCTTTCAAATATTCTTTATTTACTCTTTATGCATGTGCATGGCAACTGATGTACAGTAAATGGCATAATTAGGTATTTATGAAACTTGGATACTAGCAGATACTTTTATGTATAATTAAGAAACACACATGAAAAACATGCAACTTTCCTTCAATCTTGTTGTCAAGGAAGTCCTGCTGGCATCGTTCTAAACCTTGAAAAATAAATGCCTCACCTCTAGCTGCTCTTACCAACAGCAGATTTGGGGGGGGAAGGATACCCACAGATAATATAATGTAAGAACACAATCAAGGCACAGAAATAAGGACACAAAGACCTGTAGCAAAGGTGTATTAGCAAATATGTAAAAAAAAAATACAGAAAGAAAATCTTGCATACCTTGGCATCCCAGTCTTTATTAAGATAATATATACATGTAACACATCTTCCGTCTCCATTTGGATTATCAACATGGCGCACGTATCCTGTTCCATTGCCTGGATAACAAGCCACCATAGCCTAGTCAAAGAATCAAAAGACAATAATTATTTTTATCTGTGTGGGGGGGAGAAAAAGTCTACATTTTATCTGTATCAATTCTTAAGCAATTTATACATAAGCAACAGGAAAAAACAGTTTGAAATAATGAGATTTTTTTTTTAATCTGTGTTTTCTTTCTAATTAAAAGCCTCATTTTGAACACAAACAGATGTCTACAAAGGCATGAAATACACTGAGTGGAATACTGTTAATTAAGGTATGGAAGGTGGGACTGCTCCCATGTTGTGACTAATCCTTCAGACTTCCCCCCCTTGAATGAAATATAAGAGAGGAAAAATGTCCTGTATATAATTAAGCAACATGTGCTTCTCCTTGTGATAAGAATAGTTGTCTTCCAGACTCAAATTCACAGACAACTATCTTTTTGTCTTTTTTTCTTCTGTGTTTCCAACGCAAAGAATTCCTCCTTGAAAAGTTGTGTCAAACTTTATTTTTAAGAGGCTTTGTAGACAAAACCATTAACCCATCTTATTTAATCACTCCAAGTGCATTCCTGGACTTGTGTTTTGTCCTATACATAGGAGGTCTTTGAACCTTTGTTGAAACAATCGTACATGTACAACAAAAACATCCTTTTTAGTCAAGAAGTGAGAAATTGGAAACAGACACCAAACAGTAATCTGCAATAACCTTCTGACATCAAACGATTCCTGTTACAGTAGTATATTTAACTTCCCATGCTGCACTTAGCTCAGCTGACTTGAAAGACCCCTAGAACGTGGTTTGATTTCTGAATCTTCAGACATGCGGATGTGCGTGTGAAACAAACTGGCCATTTTGCTAACAGATGGCCTGATTAGCTTGATTAGCTATCAGTTCACATGGCCAGTTTGTTGTACAGCACATCCCCGTTATGCATTTGCTGGAAATACTAATCATTTCAGGTTTTTGAAAGAAATCCAAAGTTTTCCAGGCCACGTTGTCCACTGCCATCACAGTACTCAAGATGTCTGCAGTGACAATATCCTATCTGAAAAAAAGTCATAACAGGAATTTAAAAGAAAGGCAAAAAAATGAGTTTTTATCAACAATCCTAGTACACTAACCCTCAATGAATGTCTGCTGTCTAAAAAAAAAACCCAAAACCCCAAACCTAGAAAACATTTAAATGCAATCATTCCTGTCTAAATTCTAACAACCAGGCTAAATCTAAAGTCAGACCCCTGGATTACAAACTCTTTCACCTCTCAAAATATCAAAAAGAGTGTTCCCAATGAAGTGTTAACTGAAAACATAACCAGTCAGATTAAAAGTATTTTGCTTTACACTAATTCCTCTTCCTCCCCACCCCCCCGCTTTTAAAATGTTAATGAATAAAACTTTCCACAGTTTGCATTACTTCTGAGAAACTGTGCTTTGAGCAGGCTGAGACACAAAGTACTTGCAGTTCCATCAGTAAAATATTTACATATCACATGTAAGCAGAATGAATTTCACTATAGCAGCAAATGCTTTAAAATCTTTATTTCCATATATACTCTACTGTGCAAAGCAGCTATTTTTTGGTAGCTCCTTCCAGGCAGAAATCAGAGCATAGTATTTGCCAAATAGTAGCACTGTGTTTATAAAAAAACCCCTAAAAATTAAGCCAAACTCCATTCACATGAGATGGAAGTGGCTACAGTGCATGAAAAGTACTAAAACTAAAAAATTCAAATATGTTTATAACTTTGAGATTAGGCACTTCAGCTTCTCAATCCCTTTAATGTAATCATAGTGTAGTCATCATTACAGGTCTCACATTATGTAAACATATGACATGTATCAAGTAATGTGATGTAATATTTGGCAAAGTCATTACTTATCAGTTTTGCTGCAGGAAGATAAACCCACAAAAATCAAAACAGTGAGTTACAGATACCAAATAATGTAATAAGGGTTCTGCAATTTCCTTTCTTATGGAGAAAAAGGAACAAAACAAAAGCGAAGCTGGGCTGAAAGAGGAAGAAATTTGGTTTCCACTGAAAGCCAACCCTCTTGCAAAGAGTCCCACATACACCATATCACACTCTCATGGAGCACAAACAGTGCTGAAAGCAGATCCAGGTCCAATCCTATAATACCATTCCTAACAACAGAAAAGTTTTAATTTAAGTGGTTTTGCTGAGAAGTGAGAAATCCTGACAATTCTTGCTCAACATCTGTGTGAAACAGCTACTAAAACTCATTCAGAATGAAGAAAACATTGAGACCAAGTAGCTAGAGCAATGTCAATTCTGAGATAAGGAGGAGTTAGAACTCAAGATATGCAAAGGTCTTCAGTCACGTAATCCGTCACTGAGATAAAAACCCCTAGCGTTAAAAGTTTAGGACAGTTCCTAGGTGTCTCTGGTCAATACAGTGTTTTTTTCAAGGGCACACTTGGTTGCCATCTGTTTCTCAAAAAATTATTTTGCAGTTAAGACAAGCAGAGATTTGCAGCCTATTGCTATAGTTTCCTTTATAAGGTACTGAAATGGGTACTTGTTCTCGTTGCTGAAGGGAAGTCAAGGAAGGAATCTATAACATCAACGCTGCTGAAGAAAGAGGACCAGCAGCACTTTTTGCAAAGTCTGTGGAAACACTAGTTGTCATCAGCTTCACATAAAGAGCAGCCATATTCAATGTCAGAAGCATTTCATACAATCACTTGAGTCTAAAATAGCCAATGTTTAAAAAAGCCCTTGTTTCTGACTTCGGAGTCTGAAACTTCTGCTATCATCAACTGCAAGAGACGACAAACAGTTTTGCTATGATAACTTATCTAATATGTATTTGTTATAACAGTAAGTATGACTCAGCCTTTAGGGGCAAATTGGAAAGCAAACAAATTTGCAAATCAGCCAGTGTAGTATAATATACATTGCTTTTGCCAGTTAGTGTGACAACTCCCTCTCCCCAGTTGAACTATGATAAAGAAAGTCACAAAACGTAGCAGTTTACAGGATGTGGAAATACATTGCTTTGTAAAACAATAAGAGGTGAGTTGCTGTCAAACTCTCATAGTATTGCAACATCTCCCACATGAGTGACCCAGGTAAATAATGAGGTCACTTTTGTTGAATAATAAAGTTACTTCTATTGCTGATTTAACATTTTACATTATAAACAAGCAAGCAAATACAAGTATGCCAAGCAGAGAGAAAAATATGGGTTTGCAAGGTTTTTTTTTTTAACACTGTTAATTGTAGTCAAGAGAGTGAGGCATTTGAGACCAGAATGTCCAAAATTCCTTAACATTTTAGACTACGAGCAATAACATTAGTGCTCCAAAACAAAGAGCTACCTGTCTCACCAGTTCTCCCATAAATCAATCAATTCAGCTCAAGGCATTACTTGCATTTTCTTAATAGGCAAAGAGGTCTCCCCTTTTGTGCTTATTGGGCATTACGATTTTTAAGCACTCAGTAAACTTACTTTCTGCAAAGAATATATTTAAGTCTCACAGTGGATTTGTTCACCCAGTAGATTCCTTTGCAAAAACTTAATATTAACCTTCTTTAACCCAAGAGCACTCTCTTTTAACCTGAGCACTCATGCCTAGCACATAAACACTGTCCTAAGATACCCTCTGGAATTCATGAGTAACCAAGAAAGCATGAAAGCGCCCTCATCACTCTGCAATCTGCCCAACTTGTGCCTATCAAACCCAAGTACTCACACACTTAAGCAGCTGTCAATCGCTCATTCATGTACAGATGTTCTACTTGCAAATGTTTAACTCTGGAAAATTAACTTTAGGCCATTGGCCCAAATGACCAACACCAAGTACCTAACAGAAGAGCTAATTGCAACCACGGATTTTTGCTAAACGTTGACATCCTCAGCGTGCCATGCCATTACTCTATTTAACAATTAAATGCAGGAAGGTAACATTAGTCCATACGGTTTTGTTCACTATGTAACGAGGCTAAGACACTCAACCCTGTGAGGCACAGCATAGCAGTGCAGTTGAAAACGTGATTTCATTAGGGAGTAGCCTCGACCTCCTTTTATAGAAAAGTATGGCATCCTCACACATATATAAAGGAAGACTTGCAGGTAAACAGACTAAGCTTTTTCCTCTAGCCTCTCCATTCCTTTCACAGCTGGATACCTGCAAGTTTAGGTATTGTTCCTTAAAAAAAAAAAAAAAAAAAAGAAAGGTAGCCATAATAGCAAACTCTTGGGAAAGAGGGGAAAATACCAGTTACATGACAACATAAAATTCCTTAGGGGGAAAAAAGAACCCCAAACCAACCATAAAATAGAGAAAGGACATGTGTTCTGTCATACTAGTTTATTAATGCAAAATAACTTTATTGTTTAGTTCAGATTAAAGAAAACTGCATCAGTCTAGGAGATGTCACTTTTGCAGTTTGCCAAAGGAACTGCAAATCTCAGTGAGCAAAACAAGATGTCTAAATGCAAGACCGATGACTTCCTACCAGAATATATCAGATGCTCTCACAAAGACTTCACTGGAAATCCTTGGCATGGTCATCTGACAGATTATTCAAAGAAAGAAAAAACCCCACACACCACTGGAATGAAGAACCAAAGAAAATTAAAAAAAAAAAAATCTGACCTCTCTGTTTGGTCCATCTGTGATATATTTCTATTTCAAGAATTTGTTCAGCCCTCACAAACAACAGTCCTGAGGAAATAAATTTCCATTAAGCACACGTCAGTAAGATTTTTCACAAGGTGTACAAAATAATAATCACTCTGAAGGAAAAATGACTGTATTGGTAAAACCTTGTGTGAGCAGCATCAAGATTACCAACTTAAACATGTTAACATGGCACAGCTTGGCTTCGGTTCATAACTCCTCCTGCAAATTCTTCATAAGCAGAGACAGAAACTTGCAACAGAAAGAAAATATCAATGGGGAGAAACTCCATCAGCCTTACCCAAACAGAGAAAGCTGAAAGGGGTAAAATAAACACTTTGGGACACAGCTAATCCAAGTATTTCCATATTACCTTTCACCTTAATAAAACTTTATGCTGATATCCTCCATGATCTAGTAAGCA